TTGCTTAGAGCTATTGATTCTTCTCTCCAATAGCGCTAATTTCAGGTTCTCTTATTTCAAGGAGGTTATCATTACATGCCAAGAAGCTGGAAGAGAATTGTAATTTAGTATTGATAAAGTGTATATCTTAATACATATCAGTGTAACTTAAAACCCACATTTATCCAGCAGATGCTATTGTCTGTATACTGTCCAGGTTTTTGAGGTCTTGGGGAAAATTCAAATGTATTACAATAGAGCACAATAGGTCTGATAAAAATGTCATGACACTACAGCAAAGAGAATACAAATTCCTTCGGTCGGAAGGGAAATGGGTATGTTTTTGGAACCCCAAACTCTTCTCATGTATCCAGACAGTTATCCCAAAATGTCCAAATTATCCTAATTTATTCCCCTTTCCTTCATTGCTCATACCTTTTTTTACACATCTCTTGTAACCTGGCTCCTTCCTCACCAGCCTAATGCAGACTTTCATCACATTTCCCCTGAACAATTATAATACCTTTTAACTCATATTCCTACCTCTAAACTCACTTGCCTTCTGTCTAACTTTTGTATTTTGTATTTTTTAAGTATGCATATCTAATTATGTTAAGATAGCCCACCCCACCTTCATCATCATTAAAATCCTCCCACCATGTCCATGGCATATTATCAGGATAAAAAATAATAAATGGCTATAGTATGTAATGTACAGCTTATTTTCATTTTATATATTACATATATGCATGTGTAATAAATATATGTATAGTATTCATATGAAACATGGTATGCATGTATAGATGTGTGAGGAAATCCAAAGTATTACCTGTATTTTACATTTTCTTTTTTTTAAATGTATTTCTTATCTTCCAACTTTCTAATGAAATTATATATTATAGTGAACTAAATACAAAAGAAAGAGGCGGAGGGAAGATATTTTTATTTAAAAAGAAACCTACGTGTTTTTATTTTAAAATCCAGAATAATACAGTGAGTATGCGTTATAGAATCATACAGACTGTGTCTAAGTTCCGACTAATACCAGATAAATTCCTCAAGCTCTATAACTACCATTTGTTTAGAATATCTATTAAATGAAATTTATACTATCTAATTCACAGATATGTTGTGTAAGGTACACAATGTGATTAGTGGCATGCAGTAGGCCTTTAATTCCAACCATGGTCACATTTATTGAGCCCTCACTATTTGTCATACATGGTTCTAGGCTCTTTACCTGTATCTTTTCATTTAATCTTCTGAACAATTTTATAAAGCAGGGCTTCACAGAGGAGGAAACTGAGGCAGCGACAGGTTGGATTTGTACGGGGTCACCAAACGGGTAAATGGTAGAGTTAAATTTGAATTATTTAGTCTGACTTAATAGCCCCACACTTAACCACTGTGCTACTAATAATATTAGATGTAGATCCTTCTATTCTCTTGTCATCATGCCACCCTTGCCTCAATGACTCTGGCTTCCAGCTTTCTGCATTCAAGTGAAGTTCACAGGAGAACTCCATAGTGTATGACCAATGCTAAGGGTACAACAAAGGGCAGCATCTCATGCAGCATGTAAAATATGATTAATATTTTTCAGAAAAGGAATTGTATTTTAAAAATTGATTTACTAACATAGTTCACAGTCTGAATAATGACCTTGTTATTGATATGCAGGAAAATTGCTATAAATGAGCAAAGAAATGGGTGGATTGACAGAATATGTGAGAGTAGCATGTGCATAATGTGTGACCTATGGAAAAAGGAAAGCTTGCAACTAATTCAAGATCTTATTCATTCCCAGGAATAATTTTGTTTGTTGTGCCAGATAGACATCTGTCATCACAAAATGTTTCTTTTGTTTATAATTTTAAGAAAATATTAAATGGATGACAGTTGTTTCCATACAGCTCTGTGGTATTTTCTTTCTGTTTTTGGTCCTTGTTGTCACATATGAGTTTTTCACTAATGATCCATTATGAAATAAATAGCCTCACATGATTTCTTAGGTCAGTGTTTTTTATATAACTAGTCATTGGAACAGCTGACTCAGTTTATATAGATTTTCCTGGTCATAGGTTCTTTAACAGATAGTCAAAGTTATGTCATCAAAGATTACTTCTTCTCAGGAAATTAAAACTCTCTGAGATGGCTGAATTAGCTTCCATATAAGCAATGTCAACTTGTTACACATTTTTTTTAGTCAGCTTTATGAAACTATAAAAATTTGTTTGTGAAACATCTTACTATTGGCAGTGAAATTAGGCAACTATTTAAAAGTTTTTGCCACAAGTTCGTTTGGTTCTGGGTATCTATTTGTAGAAGAATAAAACTAGATCCCTATCTCTTGCTATACACAAAAGTCATATCAACATGAATTAAATCTAAGACTCAAAACTATGAAACTGCTAAAAAAAACTTTGGAAACTCCCCAGAACATGGGTCTGGGCAAAGATTTCTTGAGTAATTTCCCAAAAGCACAGACAACTAAAGCAAAAATTGACAAATGGGATCATATCAAGTTTAAAAGCTTCTGTAGAACAAAGGAAACAATCATCAAAGTGAAGAGACAACTCACAGAATGGGGGAAAATATCTTCAAACTATCCGTTTGACAAGGAATTAATAACCAGAATATAGAAATCATATTAACAGCCCAAACAACAATGGAGAAAAATCAAATCATCCAGTTTAAAAATGAGCAAACAACAATAGAAAAAAAATAATAATTCAGTTTTTCTAAATGGACGAAAGATCTGAATAGACATTTTCAAAAGAAGACATACAAATGACCAGCAGGTATATGAAAAGGTGCTCAACATCATTGATCATCAGAGACATGCAAACCAAAGCTACAATGAGATATCATCTCACCTTACTTAAAATGGCTTTTATCAAAAGACAGGTAATAACAAAGTGTAGCAAGGATATGAAGAAAGGAGAACCCTCGTACGCTGTTGGGGGGAATGTAAATTAGTACAGCCACTATAGAGAATAGTGTGGAGGTTTTTCAAAACACTAAAGGTAGCACTATCATGTGACCCAGCAATCCCACTGCTGAGTATATACCCAAAAGAAAGGAAATTAGTATACAGAAGAGATAGCTGCACTCCTGTATTTATTGCAGCACTGTTCACTTTAGCCAGGATTTGGAATCAACCTAAGCGTTCATCAACAGATGAATGGATAAAGAAAGGATAGCACATATACACAATGGAGCACTATTCAGCCATAAAAAAGAATGAGATCCTGTTGTTTACAACATGGATGGAAATGGACGACATTATGCAAAATGAGGCACAGAAAGATGAACTTTACTTGTTGTCACTCATTTGCGGGAGTTAAAAATTAAAGCAATTGAACTCATGGAGATAGTAGAATAATGGTTACCAGAGGGTGGGAAAGGTGGGGGGTTTGGAGAGTGGAAAATGGGGATGGTTAATGCATACAAAAATGTAGTTACATAGAATAAATAAGATCGAGTATTTGATAGCACAATAGAGTGACTACAGTCAACAATATTATACATTTTCAAATAACTGAGGGAGTACAATTGAAATGTTTCTAACACCAAAAAAAAATGATGAATACTCGAAGTAATGAATACCCTATTTACCCTGTGATTATTGCACATTGTATGCCTATATCAAAATAGCTCATGTGTCCTAGAAGTATTGTATTTTAGTATCCTACTATGTACCCATAAAATAAAAATCATCCAAACACACAATAAAGAAAAAGTTTAGTTGATCTACACCATTCTTTGTTTACTTAACTTTACTAACTGTACCCCCAAAATTGTATTTAATGGAACATACTTTGAGAAACATATGACCTTACTAAGAATTATTATATCATTTTTATTTCCATAAAATTTTTAGAGTTCAAATAAAATAGGATTTTGAAACTTTATGTAATACCATAGGGAAAGATAAAAAATAATGACCAACCTACTGAATGGCTTATCTTCCTGGATAGTAGTTTTTCCCCAATTAGCAGCCTTAAGCTGTTAAACTATTCTGTCATATACACATTTCCAATTAAAAGGAACATCTGAGGCCAGGCAGGGGGACTCACCGGGAATCGGTAGTGTCTAATGCTACATCCATTTTGGTTTTGACCTGTTGAAGTTAGCCAATTCAGTGGAGCCTTAAAACACAGTTGGCCTTTTAAAGATAAAGCAGAAGAACCACATAGTATTTGATCTGGGCAGAGTAACAACTACAAAATTCTGAAACAAAGCCAGGCCTCTAACTTTAAAGCAGTGTTAGCTCAGTTCTGCTAGGCCAGGCAGGCATATCTGATTGGGACAGCAGTATCCCAGAAGAGCTGTGCCAATAGAGATACATGGCCTATTCTGGAGATCAGCTTGAAATACCACGTGGCTGTGGATTATTGAGAATCAATGGCAGAAGGCAGAGCATGTGACAGAGGAGGGAAACCCAGTGACTTCAGCAGAGTGGAGAGAGGCAACCTGGGGTAGTGTCACAGCATCAGCTTTTTAAAGTGAAAACCTTGGAGACTTAGAGATATGTGATCTATAAGAACAGATTTGCCAGACTTGGCCTTGAATGAAAGAGTCATTTTATCCTACAGGGAATTGTGACAACTGCTTAACAGTGATGATCAAATCACAGCAACAGCTTTCAAGTTCAGGAAATAATGAGATAAAGTAAAACCAGGAGGAATTTAAGACAAGCTAAAATGACACTCTTATATCTTGACATTTCTTCAATATACCTTATTTTATAACCAGGGCCATCTTGTCTTAAGTTCCTCCATTAAGACAGTTAACCCCTAATTTTGCATTGCATGGCAAAGATGATAGCATATTTTCCACAGGAAAATGCTGGCACCTTACTGGGCAAGCTTGATGATAACTGACAGTATCAGAGCCGGAACTGATATGGCTGTGTTGGGTTCTGAACAAACTGCTTCAGAGTTTTGTAACTGACACCATATGCTTTACACAGTCCCCAAATGCAATTAGACAAAACCCATTCCCAATCTGTCCCAGACTGTCTTGTGTATTTTATGGCTAAGGACTGAATTGCAAGCTAACATTCACAGCCTGGAAGAAAAATTTGCAATTTATAAATCAGGGTCATACGTCTCAGAGACAAAGGATGCCCATTGCTTTGCAGGCGGGGGTATAGGAGAGGATCAATTGCTTTAGGCCCACGTCCCCTGTCTCACTTGTTTCCTCTGCTTAGAAAACCTGTCAACCCCCTATCCTCCTGGTGAACTTCAATATACTTCAAGTTCAAACTAAAGCATTTTGAGTTGACCATGCTCTTTTGTGCCAACACTGTGTCCAGAACAATCTTCCTTACAGCATTTACCACCCGCTATGGCAATCATATGTTTACATATCTGTTTTCTCTTCTAGAACTCCATGAGGGCAGGGGCTGTGGCAGGCTCACATAGATGTTTAACAAATGTCTGTTAAAGGAATCCACTGAACAAAAATGAATAAATGTCGGAAACTGTAAACTGATTTGGAGAACTAAAAACACATGACAAATGAGTACTGATGATTTTGAAAATCATAAGGCAAATATTTTTCTTGATGATAGGCACAAATGTATAAATATTTTTTCGTTGCCTACCATGGAAATTTGTTTTAAATCTTTAGTTAATAAATGATTTCCTAATGTACTATTATCCAAAAGTAGAAATTATATGAGTGCCCCTGCATGAGGTGGAAAGATGTATACAGAGGCTTTTTTTCTAGGGGAGGGGATACATTTGCCTGATTTATTTATGCTCTTGCTTAGTCTCACTTTTGGCCAACTGTAAGCATTTTAAAGTGCAGCTGGTTACGTTTAGAGATGCCATCTGTAGCCCTGACAAAAGAGTATCCCCTGATGAAGATTTAATTGGCCCATAAATGTTTCACAAACACAACCTTTATTTCTTTGTACAGTGTGTTTTGTTCTATTTTGTTTTATTTTTCAGTCCATGAAGCATGGGTTTTCAGTCAGATAAACCCATGATTCAGACTGTATTTGTTCTACTTATTAAGCTGTGTGCCTCCAAGAAAATCTTCCTCCAAACTTTCCAAGCCTTTGTTTCCTCATCTGTTGAATGAGAATGATAATATCTACCTCAGACAGCTGCAAAGATTTAGTGCCATAGTGCATCTGAAGTTCCTACCCTGGGGCTTGGCATAAGCAGGTTCTTTATAAATGGCATTTCCCTTTCTCCTTGTCAACTCTTCAGGAGGCACTCTTTAAGAGTTAGGTGTAACCTTATCTCTTCTTTAGCTTATTGACTGTTCTCCCATAATTCCCACGATTTTTAAAGAGCAAATGCTTGTAGATCACAATCTGTGCAATGGGATACGATGAATGCCAATAAGATGTGACTACACAGAGCCATTACTCTGCTGTAGGAAACTTCACATGAAACTTCTGATAGTTTAGAACATTATTCTATTGTTAATGCATTTTTTACCTTGAAGAGAGTACCAAAATATGACTATCAAATTTTGCTAATCCTTTAATTTTAAATTTTAAAATTAATTTTAGAGTCACCGAAACTTTTCAAATACTCTTCCCTAGTTTCTTGTTTTTTTTTTTTTATTGCATTTTAGGTTTTGGGGTACGTGTGAAGAACATGCAAGATTGTTGCATAGGTACACATGTGGCAGTGTGATTTGCTGCCTTATTCCTCATCACCTATATCTGGCATTTAATGTTAGTGTCTTGCATGGCCATGGTACATTTAGTATTTCTAAGATATTAAACTTGGTATAATTGATTTACTTAACCGAACACCTTATTTATATTTCACTAGTTTTTCCATTAACATTTTTTAATGTTTCAGGATCCAGTTCAAAGACCCACATTACTTTTGGTTATAAAGTCTCTTATTCCTCTCTAGTGTGTGATGATTCCACAGTCTTTCCTTATCTTTCATGACCTTGACATGTTGAAGAGTGACGGTCAGTTATTTTGTGGAATGCCTCACAGTTTGGAATTATATAACGTTTTCTGCTGATTAAATGAAGTTGTATATTTGTGGTAAGAATGCTACAGAAGTTATGTGTTTCTCTTGCTGGCATGATGAGGGTAGTGTTTGTTGGGTTTCTTCACTATAAAGTTACATTTTTCTCTGTGTCATTAACAAATATAATAGGATAGTGACTTTTAAGTCTGCTCCTTATTTTATCATCATTATTGTTAATTTTTTTGAGACAAAGTCTCACTGTGTCACCCAGGCTAGAGTGCAGTGGTATAATCTCAGCTCACTGCGATCCCCGCCTCACAAGTTCAAGAGATTCTCATGCCTCAGCCTCTCAAGTGGCAGGGATTACAGGCATATGCCACCATGCTTGCTAATTTTTTGTAATTTTAGTAGAGACAGGGTGTTGCCATATTGGGCAGGCTGGTCTTGAACTCCTGACCTCAAATGAGCCACTCACCTCGGCCTCCCAAAGATCTGGGATTACAGGTATGAACCACTGCACCTGGCCTCTCTTTAGAGTATTTTAAAATTATTATTAACATGTATAAAAATGTGAGACTAAACATAGAACTGTCATGTCATAGATAAAGTATGCTTCATAGGTTTCCAATTTTTCCATTGTTAGAATATGTTTGAACTAAAAATGAATATTAACTTTCAATCTCATAATGCCATAGTAGTTTCAATGTTCAGTTTTGAAAGCATTAGCCTTTCTGGGCAGAATTAAGCTCCTTTTAGCATGCTTGGAGCTTAACTGTGGATGTATAGCATGTGATCAGTGAGTAATCTTTGAAAAATTATTCAGCTCTAAATAATTGCTAGTAAAGCTTCAATGAGAGATGCAATTTGTAACTTTAAGGCATGTAAAGGGATACATATTTTGCAGCAGATCATATTCCATATGTCACTTGGTTGCATACATTTAACTTGCATTAATGGTGGAAGGCAAGCCTTTCCTCTTCTGCTGTGGTGTGTGCATGTAGACTGCCAGGCCCTTTATTCTACTCCCATGTCTAATTTTCAACCATGTTTCAATGCCATGCATTTATGATTGTGACAGGTGAGCTCCGCTATTGAGAGCATATTCCAAAGAAGGCTAGTATCCCAGCTCCATCCTTTTGGCTCTGTTTCATGTGTCAGTTGCATTCATAATTCTATCCATCTGTTAATGCAATAAATATGTAATAAACACTTATAAGTCAGGCCCTATATATACTCAGTCATTAAACATAGGTGGATTCAGTGAGAGACTATAAACAGGTTAGCAAGCATTTATTATTGCAACTTAAAAGTAAAGTTTATGAGCAGTATGATTTTATTTTCATAAATTTTAAAAAAAACGTATTTAAATGTAAAGAAAATTAAGAAAATTTGACTCCAAGGCCAGGGAAACTGCACACTTTATCTTAGAATATCATCCCAGATATGTGGATTGCACAGTACCTGTGATTTGAAGTTATATATTTTTAACAAAGGTGAACTTTGGTTGTTGATGTAGCAAGGGTGTACAGTTTTTGATAAATGTATTAATTGAGATTTGTCTTTATATCGTTATTTATTTGATATGACATATTATTTGAAGCAGTCCCAATCTCTTCACAAAGTGTTGGTATAGGAGAATACCACCTGACACCAATCCTTTAAATGAAATTTAACACAAAATTAAGATTCAAGAATTATTGTGAAATTTAAAATTATCTTAATTTACTCATAGGCACCAGTGAGTTTTTAAAAAGATGTTTCTGTTCTTGTGTCAGTTTGTTGAGGATGATGGTTTCCAGGTTCATGGGTGTTGAACAATGAGAACACATGGACACAGGGAGGGGAGCATCACACACTGGGGTCTGTCAGGGGGAAGTAGGGGAGGGACAGTGGGGGGTGCAGAGTTGGGGAGAGATAACATGGGGAGAAATGCCAGATATAGGTGATGGGGAGGAAGGTAGCAAATCAAACTGTCACGTGTGTACCTATGCAACAATCTTGCATGTTTTTCGTATGTACGCCAAAACCTAAAATGCAATAAAAAAAAAAAAGGTGTTTCACATATTTTTAAATCATAAGCTTTTAGCGGAGTGTTAAGTGGGAAGTTTGCTTCCAAAATAATAATGACAGTAGTGGCAATAATAATAATAATACTCTTATTATCCCAATTATACAGATGAGAAAAAACAAAAAGAGACTAAGCAACTTGATCAAGACTGGACAGTTAGTAAGTGGCTTAGCCTTGGCTCAGATTTGGGCCATCTAACCTCAGTCTACACTCTTAAACTCTTACCTCTACAACTTTCTAGCTAGATAGGTTATAGGATAAGTTGGTATAATGAAGAGTCCTATATTGCAGTGATTTACATAAGATAGAAAAGTATTTCTCTCTCATAACAGTATAGGAATGAGTGGCCCAGGGCTGGCGATGCAGCTCTGCTGTCTTGTGTGCATAGCTTCCATCTCTGGTTCAAAGTGTCTGCATGCCTTGTTTGCCGTTTCCCAGCCATCAGGAAAAGGCGGAGGGAAGTGAAGGGGAAGCAATCCTCTTTTGAAGGGTGTGGCCAGAAGTTCACTTCTGCTCACATTCTGTTGTTTAGTACTTGATCACAGGGCCACACATATCTGCAAGAGAGGTAGGGAAATGTCCTCTAATTGAGTTGCCATGTGTCCAGCTAAACCTCCTGGGTTCTATTATTAAGAGAAATAAGGGAAATACGAATATTGGGGGGAAATTAGCAGACTCTGCTAGAACCTGCCTCTCTGGGTTTAGACTTCCACCTACCCAGGGAAGATGTACTGGATGCTAGAAGTTTTTCCTTATGGTCCAGTCACTTACAGCCAAAAAGACAAGTTATGTGCTATATCCACTCCATACTCAATATGGAGAATAACTTTAAAGAAAACTCCCATTCTGATAAGAAAGGAATGGTAAATATATGGTGGTCAGTTGTCCACAACAATTATCATATTCAGTGGCAGGATTTACAGAGTCCTTGTTCCAACATAGAGTTTTTTCTTTGGTTAGCTCAACTGTTACACTTTTTGGAGTAACTCTTTTGGAGATTTATTCCTTATTATTTGGAAGTGATCATTTGAGAATATTCCCTAATTGAGGGGTTGCATAGTTTTGGTAGTTTTTTATTTTTATTTTTATCTCCACCCAACCTGGAGTGGAGTGCAGTGTTACAATTATAGATCATTATAGCCTCAAACTTCTTGGATCAAGCAATCCTCCTTTCTCAACCTCCCAAGTAGCTGAGACTGCAGGCATGAGCCACTATGCCTGGCCACAGTTTTTGCCTCCTACTCTCCACCAGGGCAGGGTTAGAAATCAGGGTTAGAAATTTGTTTTAAGGGTTAAGCTGTCAAAGGCTTTTGCAAGCCAGGCTAGTGATTTCAAGGGAAATATAATTCCCTTAAAAATATAGTGGACTTATATTCTTTTTTGCTTCTAGTCAACTCCATGTAAATATGCTCTTCTACGTTAACCAGTTGTGCTTTTGTCTAAGCCAAGATTTACCCTTGGAAGATGCCATTGTTTGTGTTTCCCAGTATTTTCTATTACCATTTCCCCAAGGCATCTGTTGGCCATTTAATCACATTAAAGCATTAAACAGACTCTGACATATGCTTCAGTTCACTGGTTAGTCTGTTTTTATACTTAAAAGTTTTGGGGGTATTCATGAAATGCTTTGGAAAGATTGTTACAGACTTGACAGGGCATGATGTCTGGCTGGTTTCTTCAACAGTTAACACAATGATTCATTCCCAAATGTTCTTCTGAGTGCACTGGCCTTATCTGTATTATATGTGCTAGTATCTCACAGCACCCGAAATCCTGTATATAAGAAATCAATATATCACTGTGACTGGAGAAAAGTAAAACTTGTGTGTAAATGTTTGTTTCCTTCAAATTTCAAAATTCTACCATTTAAGGATCATTGGAGGTGTGTACCTGTATGTGTGCATGTGTGGGTGTGTGCATATTGGTGTGTTTCTGTAGCAGTTACCAAGATATTTGGCTGGTGCAAAGTTAATTGTGGTTTTTGCCAATTTCTTTTGAGACAGAGTCTTACTCTGTCACCAAGGTTGGAGTGCAGTGGCACAATCTCGGCTCGCTGCAGCCTCTGCTTCCCTGGTGCAAGTGATTCTTCTGCCTCAGCCTTCTGAGTACCTGAGTAGCAGGGATTATGAGCACCTGGCTAATTTTTTTTTTTTTTTTTTTTTTGTAGAGACAGTGTTTAGCCATGTTGGCGAGGCTGGTCTCAAACTCTTGACCTCAGGTGACTTGTCCACCTTGGCCTCCCAAAGCCATTACTTTCAATGGCAAAAATTGCAATTACTTTTATACCCATCTAATAATTATAGATAGGAAATGTCCACATGGTGCCTGAAACTAATGTGACCGCATCATTTATTAAATATTCAACTCTATTGGTAGTGACACCCAGACATAAGATCCCCCACCAGTTGCATTTTTAAGGATCACAACCTCATATGCTTTATTGGCAAACCATTTATATGTGGGACAGTCCATCCATGCTGGAGTATTTATAATAGCAATTATTTTGAGTATGAGTGATCAATATTTCCTGGGCAACCTACTTACTGCCTAACAGATGGCAAACATTTGTTGTTGTTTGGTGTCACCATTGTTGTCAAGTATACATCAATTAAAAGTTTTACTCATAAGTGGGAGTTGAACAGTGAGAACATGTGGACACCGGGAGGGGAACATCACACACCGGGGCCTGTCAGGGGGTGAGGGGCTAGAGGAGGGATAGCAAGAGGATAAATACCTAATGTAGATGATGGGTTGATGGGTGCAGCAAACAATCATAGCACATGTATGCCTATGTAACAAACCTGAACATTCTGCACAAGTATCCCAGAACTTAAAACATAATTTAAAAAATGAAAAAAAGTTGTCTTTTAAAATCTCTGCAGCCTATTGCCTATTTCCAATCAGTATTATTTCTGTTTCAGCTTACAAAAACAAGTTTGCTCCTTTGAAACATGAAATAACTTTTTCTTGTTGTTGTTATTATTTTGTCACTTCCAAAACTAATTTAGATTCTTCACAGTATGAAAAAATCCAAAACAGTAACACAGAGTTCCAACTCTACATTTCTTTGTTCACAAGTCAAAAAGAACTGAATGTTGTGTTGAAGCATATAAATTCATTCTTACTTTCATTTGTATTCATATTTACCCTTCTGGATTCCATCTGAAACCAAAACCAAAAGTGCTGAGAAACCACAACAAAGGCTGCTTTCCTTGGGTTTTCTAGCTCACTGGAGGTAGGCAGTGTTAGGTATTCACAGTCTTCATCTCACTAAATTTTCCAGTCCAAGTTCTACAGAGCCCAGAAACTCACATATTTCTAAATGGAGAATACAGAGTGTCTTTCAAAATGGGCTTCAGCAAGCAGGACCACGTTGGTCCGATCTTGGCTAATTTGAAGGCCATTTAGGTTGGAAAAGAAAAAAATCTTTATATTACTCAGAGATTTGGAATGCATGAGAAATGTAAAGAAATATTTCCAATATTAATGTCATATTAATACATTTAATTGAGTAGAACTAATTCATTTCCTTGTAATTTGTTTCAATTTCCCTCCTTCCTGAGTTCCTTGTGTACTAACTTAAAATTCTTTCATAGTATAATGTATAGTCACTTTTCAGCTGGTATTTGTTTAGGGGAGAAACACACAACTGTGTCACATTCTATGATGGCTCATTACTAGGTGGATTCTAATGTGTTATAATTAAGACTATGTATTCCAAACATAAATAGCAAGGGAAGCCATATATACCATCCTCTACCTAACCTCAAGTTCCATTATTTTTAATGCAACTAAAATATATTAGTAATCTCTCACTAAAACAGGATAACATCTAGCATTGAAGCTTATCAATTTTTAAATCCATATTATTAGAAAAATTTTCTGCACACACAAAAAAATAGAATAAGTAGCTATACATTTTTCTTAAAACTCAATGTAAGGTGATTACGTAGGTAAACCTTGTTCACTGCTGATTTTTATTGGAATGAATTGTAAGTAAAGTCAAAATGTTTCCTACTCCTTGTAAAGATGTTTCATTTTGCCTATACTTTTAAAAGCCAGCTACTTAGTAAATATTTTTATAAGTTTTAAAAAAAGAAGTAGAGTTTAGAGACTTACCTGGTAAGAATTTTTAAATACAACAAAGTGGAAGAAGCTTAATTTGTTGTCACATTCAAGGACTCTGTGTCATTAGAATGAGCCAAGCATGGAAATCATGATTTCAAATTAATGTGACTAATTTCTACCCACTTCCCATCCTGGTCCCTGAGCATCATCCACTCTGAATTTGAATGGCCATGTTTTCACCCAGCTCTAGAATGTTTCAGGTGCTCATCCTTCTACCTGAAACATTTACTTAACTCACTCTTATGTTTCCTTGAGTAGACTGTAAGTCTGGGAACACAAGACAGTATTAAACAGCTATACAGGCTGCTAGTCCTTCATAGTCCTCAGCAGGAATCAAACCTGCCAATTCCTCCATTTTGGATTTCTGGCCTCCAGAACAGAAAGACAATAAATTTAGATTTGTTCTAAGCCATATAATTTGTGGTGCTTTGTCACAGTCACCTGAGGAAACTAATACAACTTCAAAGAGCTATCAGTTCTCTTCTTTTCTAATATTGTGCTTTAACATCTTAAAGAATATTGTTTAAAATTTTAGTTTTAAAAATACAACCATAATTCATACTAATGGTAAAATATTAAAGCATGTAAAATAAAAAGTAAAAGCGCATTTTGCCTTTCCATCTCTGGTCTTCTATTCTTAATCTTCTAAGAGATCCACTGTTTAGAATTTCTTGTGTATCATTCCAGAACGTATGTGTTCACGGTCAACTATATATATTCTAACACTTTATTTTACTTAAATGAGATCATGGTATACATCATGTTTTGCAATTTGCTTTATTGCTTTTAATAACTTTTCTTACATATATATTCATATCTTCACTCTACATCCATCTTTTCTAATAATTACAAAATATTCAATTATCTGGATGTACTATAAGTTATCTAACTAGTTTTGTGTTAACGGACACTTGATATGTGTCTAGTTTTATGTTATTAGTATTTTATGAAGTGTTCCAATCAATTTTCTTGTATACCTGTAGTTGGGTACCTTGTAAAGTATATTTGTAGGATGAATTCTTAGCAGTATAATTGCTGGTTTACATTTATATGCAATTATTTTTACAGATATTTTGAAATGCCCTTTATAAAGGATAAAAATCTCTCATTAATTTACATAAATTCATTTCTTTTCTTCTTGAAAACTTTCAATTTGGGGATAAAGGTAGAATTTCAAAGGTGATTTTAGATAGATTATTATTAATTATTCCTTGCTAATGTAAACTTCAGCTAATTATTCTATAAATATTTATTAAATGTCTAATATTTTGAATCAGACAATAGCTACTCAGTATTTTATGGCTGACTGACTACAATGCAAAGAAGGTTGTTAAATTTAAAGACCATGCAAGCATAGAAAATAATTCATTCCTTCAGAACAAGATGCAAGTCTGCACAAGGAATCCATTTGGAAATTTCTCAAAAGGGAAAACCACAAACACAAAATTCTAGAGCTGAAAAGATCATATGGGAATTATTTAGACACTTATTCTGTAGAGACTCGAAAACATGAGAGCCAGGATTATATTGGAAGTCATTCCAGTGCTCCAAATATCCATGCTAGCAAGACCCCAGTGCTGGCCATATAGGTCATATTTACCCTTATGGTCTCAGCCTTTTTTTTTCTCTATTCCAGTGGCCCTTCCCCTGCAGCACTGGGCCCCACACCTACATCCATTAATTTCTTCTCCTTCCATTGATCCCATATACTGACAATAGCTTCAGTCAGGAGCCATGTTTTTATTCTTTGTCACATGCCTAGGACTGTAATAAGTGCTAGAAACAGAAAGATTGCAACACGCTTTCTGATCTGGGCTTAGTTGTGGATGGATTTATACCAAACACAGCCTTGGTGTGACTGTACCTAAAAAGACATAAAGCAATGCAAGTTGATTTTCAGGAACTAACTTTCAACTGGGATTGGAGTGGAGATGGAGTAAAGAAGAAAGAGGAGGTATTGCTTCATTCACAGGAAGATTGAAATCAGACTATAAAAGCAATGATTTGCTCTGCTTTTAGGAAAGTCAGCTACATATTAAGATGAAGTGGCAGAGATCTAAAGTAAAAGGGACCTGCATTTAAAACCTAC